ACAATCTCAACAGATAATGATTTTAAATGTCCTGGGAATAATAGAATGATGGACACTCAGACAAACCAAGAGTCTAACTCATTTTACAGGACTCTTTGTGTATATCTTCTACATAATTTGATGTATTTTTTTAAAAAAATACAAAAAAACCACCCAAAATACCAATAATTAAAAATGCCAAAGAAACCTCCTAGCAGTTTGTATTTCGAAGAGAAACTGTGCTACTTGAAACAGGAATTCGAAGTGTCTCTTAATGTAGGCATCCTTCTTAGGAAGGTAGACCTTTAGTCATTTCCTTAATATCATTCAATGTGATCTTTCTTTATGGGAATAAAGAATGCACTGGCCATTCAATAGCAGCATGTTATTATTGTCATTATGAATCCATTAGACATGTTCAGGCAAGCTAAGTAGCAGCCCTGTGACCAAATTCTCCTTCTGCTGCTTTTAGTGAAACATTTGATAAAATACTGCCTGCCCCTGATTTACTTTCTGCTCGTGGTAAAAATTTAAAGAGAATAGAAGAGTCTTTTCTTTGTCCTTGAATATCAATAGAGGTGTTAGTTGTTGGTGATGAGATTTGATTATTGAGCTGCAGTGTTTTTTGCCATTTGTTTTAAAAACCAATAAAACACACATAAATACATATTCAATATTCATGTCCATATCATCATTATAAAATGTGTAATCTGCTATAGAGATAAACAGAATAAATGTAAAGAAAACTAATGCTTAATAGGTGTTTGCAGTTTTCAGTTTCTTTGTAAGCTTTAGCTTTTTTAGATCTAGTAATATATGAAAAAACACATGCATATATAAAAAGAAATACACACAGACATTGGTGTGCAAAAGATATTCACAGTATGGTTTCAGAGGATCTCATTTTTTTTATAAAAACTCCTGAACACTTTACCATGTTGCTACAATACCTGGTGGCCAGGCATTTCTTTTGCCTATGGTTTTCTGATATGGGAGTCCCCTCTGTGTGCTGTGATTATTATTAATGAATAAACGAACTGCCTTGGCTTTATGATAGGGCAGGACTTAGGTAGGTGGGGAAAACTGTACTGAATGCTGGGAGGAGGAAGTCGGCGGTGGAGAGAAGCTATGGAGCCACTGGCAGAGTCAGACATGCTGGAACTTTGCTGGTAGGCCACGACCTCGTGGTGATGCACAGATTAATAGAAATAGGTTAAATTTAGATGTAAGAACTAGCCAATACAAAACTAGAGCTATTGGGGCAAGCAGTGATTTAATTAATACGGTTTCTGTGTCGTCATTTTGGGGCTAAGCTAGTTTGGCAGCTGGGACGAACAAGCGGGCCCTCTTACTACAGTTTTCTTTGTCATTGTATCCTTTTTCTGCCATCCTCAAAAGGTGAGTCATGAAGATATTAAGACCCCTCTGTCCATAACCACTAGTCAATGGTGTGGGAGCTGGCATAAGCACTCTAGTTCTCTATTCTCCCAGCAACTGTCAACCAAAGCAGTTTAGGAGAAGATGGGCTTAACTCCCTTAAATCTTGAATAGGACAATTAGTACTTGATTGTATAGCTTCTTAAATAGAAAGAGGCTACAGGCATCATTGTGGTAGGTAGCAGTTTTCTTGTCTTATTTCCATACTTTACCAAGGATGAATCATTCAACTCTAGCATAAATTACTTCTACTCAAGTATTGATTACATGAGCAGCTTGTGCTTCTGGAAGAACTCAGACTAAGACATTCGGCAAAGATACTACTTTGATTATTACTGGATGACTTGTAATTTCATCTGTCCTTTGGCTCAACTTGCAACCAGTTTTGCCTCCATGGACCTACCCTTTTAGCTAGCGGGCTAAGCGCTTGAGTGGGGGGGGGGGCAAAATAGCCCGACGTTGGACACCAAAATGTAACGGCGTAAACGAATACAGACAGATTGTAAATATATATATATATATATATATATATATATATATATATATATATATGTATATATATAGCTTTAATGGAGAAATAGACTTACAGAACCACCATTTCGCAGAGACCAGGACTGCAAGCATGCTCACCAGATTTATAGGTAAGCATTAGCCTGAGGCGAACACGCCCCCTAAGGGGCGGGACTTATCCCTACACTACCCTTTTGATTTGAGCTGTTATAAATACTTAAAATGCTTTCCAAACAGTGTGGACATTCTAAAAATGAAGATACACAATATAGCCATTCATTTACATGAAAGTTATACTAACTTACTGAAATTGCATTCAGCATCCATGTTGCCTGTTAAAATGATTTTAATCAATGGGATGTTATTGCTCTAATAGTTTAAAACAAGTCACCAAGAAAGAAAATATTTCTTATCACAAAAGCCAGCAAGCTGTTAATTCTCTAGCACCTACCCAAAGTGAGGAAAGCCATATCAAAAAAGGAATTCTTAATTTTTACCTTTAAAAAAGAATAGATTTTTTTTTTTGAGTCTGTTAGTTACCAAATCCATCACCCACCTAGGAAAATGATTCCTTTCATGGCTCAATCAGAGGCTCATCTTAAATTCAACGGAAAGCTAAGTCTTCAAGCTCCCATCCTACTCCTGTTTCCATGGGAATAGGCTTCAGATCAAGGGGGAGGGGAGTGGATGAATGGGGTTAGGAGCTTTCAAATAATCATTCGAAATCATGATGAGGTTTTTAGAGCTTCTTTTTACGTGATTATTTTGTAGCCTCTTAACCCTCTTTTGCCAGACTGTTTCCATGGAAATACGACTGTCCAAGCCTCCAGCAGAGATTATTAGCATTCTTGTGAATTACAGCTTTGGTTGTAGCTCAAGGTGGCCAAGCTTGATCTTCTATCAGTTTTATATATGAACTTCTGCTTTTTATTTACTGTAATTTTTTCTTGTAATTTCTATTTAATTTGAAATTTTCCTCCCTGAGTTTATAACTATGATCTGGGTGATACTGAATGATTAGGGCTCTATTGAAAAAGTCTTCTATTCTAAATAGTAATATATGAGCCCCACATTTCGCTGCATGGAGTGTAATAACCTTTAACAACTCGCAGAAAAATATTTAGCTATTGTATAAGCAACATCTATTATATAAGTGTTGCTAGTAAGGCAAGAAGGGTGGTATTTTAATTATTTAGCAACTGATACACACAGACACCATTTTCCAGAGCTGCAAATGCTTGGACCATCTTCAGTCCTACTGTGTAATAACTAATGATAAATTAAACTATAATAGCCTCATAAAAGGTGGTTAGAATTGCTATCAAAGTTCTCAAGGTCATATATTGAGTCTCTTTAAACCTTCAAAGGAACTTTCAGAAGGAACTGGCTAAGAATATATAGCAATCTGTTTTGAAAAAAGTGCATATGCTTCTTGCATTCTCTTTCATGTAAAGGTCACTTTAAAATCAAAATCATTCTTATTATTGAAGACATTATGCTAAAAGACAGAGAAAGAATGTATATGGATCTATTCCAGAATCCCTAGTAAGATCTCTTATGTTCAATGTGAAAAAAGTAACAGCAGGCTAGACATCTAATGTTATTCCACCCTACTCTCTAAAACTGAACAGCTCAATCGACAACTTTCACTGGGGGAAATCTGCAAGCTCTGATTGACCTCATCAAGTACTTTCATTCCTTATCCCCATTTTTATTATTCTGTAGTTGAAGCTTTTATCACAGTCCTGTTTGATGAATCTGAATTGAAAAGAGTAAATATCGCTTCAGAACTTAGGTTTTAAATAGGTTCCTGTTGAAATATAGGAAAGACTAACTGGCTGGAAACACTAATCTTGATTTATTTTTAACTCCTTAAATTATAAATACAAGAAGTAAAGAATCCCAATTAATTTTTCAAAGTGGTTTCAGACTCCCAAAATGCTGTTCTTGTTGTCATCACACTTGTGTTCCTGAGAGCGGGGTCTGCTCTTTTTTTTTTAGTTCATTTTTTTAAAATGTATTAAAGTTTATATATATTCACACACAACCCCTTATATACTGCCCTTGATTTCTCACCTCATTAAACCCTTCCTGTTTTGTTATTCCATTTCTACCTCCATAACATCTGTGCCAGTAGGATTTGCTGAAGGAGGCAGAGGCAGGAGGATCACTAGTTCGAGGCCAGCCAGCCTGAGCTACACATTTGCCGGTTGTGGTGGAGCGGGGTCTGCTCATAAATCAAACGTTCTCACTATCTTATTTATTTGATTCTTTGTTGGAGCCTGGCCAGACTCATTCATATACAGTTTTCTCTTAATTAACCACCAGAAAGGTCAGACTGAGGAGTTGGCACATTGAAGACAAGATAGGCAAATCCTCACTGTTCTCTGCTTTTGTAAGAAATTATTTCCCGTCAAGCTCGGCGGACTGAACTGAAAGCGTCTTGGCATCATCTTTCAACTCCACAATATGGGCTAACCTTGGGCTAAGCTCGGCTAAACTTGGGCTAACCCAGGTTAACCTTGAGTTAGGTTGGTCTGGTCTGTCATCCAAGTGAGATTAAATATTTGTAGCACACTGCTCAGAATCTATTACAGACTTTGTAAATCAATGATATTTAGAACAACCTTAGTGCTTTATATGTACTATTTAAATAAGTGCTTATGAAGAACGACTTATGAAAATGACTTATAAAAATGACTTACTGCTGTCACCATCCAGCACTTTTAACACTGTTGTAACTGCGTTTAATAAATGCATGTCTGTCTAATTATAATCCAAATTATAAGTAAAATGGAATACAACATGCTTAATTCACAGAAGGAAATTCAACATTTTAATTATAAATACTTCCATATTCCCTAACAACCAAGAGTACAGTCATGGAAGACAGTTGCAAACTAGGGATTACTTGAAAGGTATAATAAGATGTGAAGGGATCCTGAAATTCTAAGTATGAGGTTATAACATTTTCAGAGAAGAAGCTTGGAAAGGTGGTTGACCTTTTCATTATTTAATGTTCAAGCGCCGTATTTTGCAATAAATAAAAATATGACCATGGTCTGTGTACTTACATCCATGAACTCCACATTGGCTTTGGGGCCAGTTGTCTCATTGAGGATCTTAATGGCCACGGGGATTTTCACTGTTTCACCTTCAGGCACCCAAATACCCTGAAAGGAAAAACAATTCAGATTGATTCTATATTGAGATTGAATAATACTTTACAGTAGAATATAATTTGGTTTGACCACTCACACTTTAATTTTATTTTATTTCATTATAGAGATTATCATATAATTACATATTCTCTTCTTTTTCTTCCCATCAAACCTCCCATATACTCTTCTCCATTCTCCTTCAAGTTTATTGCCTCCTTTTTCCTAATTCCATGATATATATATATATATATATATATATATATTCTTAAATACTATCTTCTTAATACAAATATATATATATATATATGTATATATATAATGTGACTTGTATGTACTTTTTTAGACCTGACAATTTGGCAATGGACAACCAATTGGTATGCTCTGAGTTTAAATTTCTTTTCAATAATAAGCTTTTCTTCAGCATATCTTATGTGGTGTACATGTTTGTGGTCTAAATTCATAAGAGATGAATTATGCATATTTCTATTTTCATAGTATTCAATGTCCATTTAAGATTAATTTGGTTTCTTCTTATAAAAGGCTTTGCACTTTTGACAGAGGATAAAGTATTTAAATCTTATTAGAATGACAATACCAACTTCATTTCAAAATAAATTAAGTACTTTTTTGTTCTGAAGAGTATGGAAGCTTTATGACTAAACAATAATGTATAAAATATAAATAGGTAGAATGATATTTATTTTTCAGCCCAGTTGTTTATTCTTTAACTAAGAGAAAAATATCATGTTTCTTAAATTAAGATGGAATAGGAATTAAATTTCAAAGGTTATTATTTTGAAAATAGGACTCAATGACAAGTTCTGGGGTATATGGAATACACAGTAATTTATCTATGTTATTAAATTAATGATTTTTGCCACTGGGTAGATATAAAATACTTATATTGACCACTGGCAATTCATTTTTTTATTAACATAATTGCAGGATTTAGGGATTAGGACAACATTAAAAATCTAGACTTTCAAGGTACAAGATCAATAATAGGTTTCTGAGCAAATGTAAACATCTAAATGAGGACAAGAAGTTTGAGAGGAAAGATAAGAATGCTTGGATTAAGGAAGGATATTGTTAAAAGCTCATAGTCCAAAAAGAATTCAGAACTTTTGTGAGACCATCACAGGATCTCAGGATGAATTCTGACAGTTTTAACTTAAAGATGAAAGGGAAGGAACTATAGGTTGCAGCTCTACATTCTTTCTCAGTGTCATCTGGGGACAATGATAGGAAGAAACCTAACTTAAGTAAATGTGTTTGTTTCATTCTATGTTGGAGTAATAGAAGAGACACAAACCCAAGAGACGTTGAATAGTAATAACAGTGAAGAAAAGTACTTTAAACCTCCAGGATGAGATTTATGATTGTGTTTGACTTAAGCAGTTCAGTGGGGAAAGGTATGTGTCAAATGCAAAATAATAACATAAGTTACTTGTAGTATAATTTTGTAAAAGGATATTCAAGCAGAAGAAGGGAGGGAAAAGCCTCAGAACCCAAAACCCCAGGCTATATTTTATCAGAGATGGTATCTAGGGCAGAGAACATGCTTACCATTATTCAATAAAATGACCACATAGGGAGTTACTTTATAAAGCTGTAGCATCAATATTAAAATATTCCTAAAGTACAGTTTTAAAATAAAAATATAAATTCAGTGTGAATTAATTTGTACCACTCTTGAAGAAAGTCTAGCCATTACGTTATATACTGAAACACCATGGAATTGGAATATACTTGTGCCCATATTGATTGAAACATATCATAGCTTTAGTTAAAAAGAAAAAATGACCAAATAAGTACTCAGGCCACTGGCGTTTGTGTGTTCACCAATGGCTTTTCATAGATTAAGACTGTATGTCTTACAATGCATGATATATTGACTAAAACATAGGAGTGGCAACACATATTTCAAACACACCATTCAGATAAAGTTATGAAATGTCTAATAAAGTGCATTGTCTATAATACTTTCAATTTTGTCAATAAGACATGTAGAAATGATTATCACCAAACCCAAAGGAAAGAGGTTCCAACAGTTTTCTGTTGACTTTCCTATAGTTTAGCTTAAAAATACTCATATGAATGGTCAAGCAATTATCAGATAAATCATAGGGTTTGTGGGGGCAAGGAATCTTTATAAAGATGATTGGATGGCATATACTTATAATGAAGTGGTACTAAATCTTAGGCAGTAGGATAATAGTGATTCAATTAGTTCCTTCCAACATCTTAGGGAGGGGAGCAGAGAAAAATGTAGAGCTCAATAAAAATCAATAAGAAAAAGATAGTATTTAGAATTACATATGTATTATTCCAAATAATTTTATGTATTTTCTTTAAAATATATACAAATTGAAATTATTAGATAGCAAATCAAATTTAGATTCAATTTTAAGTATAAAATTACACAATTTGTGACTTTTTCTAGCATAATTTCAGTATTTACAAATGATAACTTAGGCACAGAATTTGAAGATCAGAAAGACAAATCAACCTAAACTAGAAACTCTGTAAATTGGACACTCAGTTAATTATTTAACTGAGCAAAATATGCACACTAAAATGATAGGGAAACTTTCACAGTTGGAAATTGGAAGGTTTATAATGATGACAATATTTTCAAATATCCAGGAAATGAAAATTTATGTCTACAATATGATCATTAATATTGTTCTAACAAATAAATCATTAATTTATTTTTTTGAGACACTGTGTCATTACCTTGCCACTATTTTACTAAATTATCTACGGTGCTCTCAAACTTTTGTGTTCAATTTATTACTATGACTCAGATGTTCAAGTTTGGGATTATATATAATATATATATATATATCACATCAACTTAAATCATTTTTCTAAATAGAGAAAACACTGAGTGTTTTGAAATACAAAATTCTTAAACCTTCCTACCTTAATCACTTGTTTGTAAAAATAAGGAATCACTTAGAAATATACAGTAAGCTGCAAAACTAAATTTTGTTAATTGTACCAATGGCTGCTACAAAATGGCCTCACAATTAGCCCAGGAGAGTTTCTTTATCTCGCTATTTTTACCATTAAAATAAATTTCATCACATAATATTGGGCAGGCCTCATGATTGTACTTGTAATTTAGTTAAATAAGTAAATATATAGATACCACCAGTTGAAATTTTTTTCTAGAAAAATTTGTCTTCGAAAATGAATGGTATTATCCTTTTGTCTTATCTGATCTGAACTACTAATATCCTCATTTTTTACAAAATGGCAAGGACATTAAAACTACCAACATACTTACTAAGTCATATATGTAATCAGTCAGGCAAAAAGTTATTATAATCTTATTCTACAAACGTATTAGCACATTCATACAGATTTTGAGTGATCAGTTAGTAGGGTACCGACAGAGACTAAGGATTAAAGAGCAGAAAGGACAGCAAAGGATTGTGGGAATTGCCCGGGAAGTTCTGGAAGCTCTGGAAGCAATGATTAGGGGAAAGGAAGCAGTTGTGATTGAGTGTTTGGGAAACAAGTGGAAATTTGCGAAAGAGAAGGCAATCTTGAAAGGGGCTCAAAGGGCCCTGAGTGCACTCCACTTGGGTGAGTACCTACAATTCTCCCCTTCTCTGAACACGACACTTATCCAGACTTGTTCAGAAAAATTAAAGAACTTGTCCATCCAGCAAAGTCTCAATATTACATTATTCCATTCTTTGAATATTAAAAGGAAATTAGGTTGGCAAAACAATTACCTCAGCTATTACTTTTTAAAAGCTTGAAACAAAACTCAAATAACTGGAGGCGTGTACTGTGTTTTCGCTTACCTTATAAACGGTTCCAAAAGCTCCTGAGCCAAGGACTTTTACCCTCTTTAGTTCTGTTTCCTTCAAAATGCGTAGTTGAGCTTGATTGGGTGCCGTGCCACTGGGGGTTAAGGGCTCTACCAACTGCAAAGCAAAGGCATGGGATTATGGACCTTTCATCCACACTCACTTCTGCTTCTTTTCTCTTAGGTTTAATGAAAGTTCTACGCTAGGATACATTTCTCTGACAAACACTACTTTCCAGTATCAGCCACAGTCCAATACTCTCTGTGCACCTGTTCTTTGCCTGGGTGAATTCAAGTTTTGCATATATTCTACCAGAGGCACACTGGTTAAAAATACAGGGACGAAATAAAAGAATACAAAAGGACAACAAAACCAGAAATTGTCCTGTATTAGCACTTACAATAATTGCAAAGCTATCATGATCATATCAGAAAGGGATACTAGTTGGCAAAATGCTGATTCTTTGGGCAATCAACACATCAAATATATAAGATTCTTATCACATCTCAATCCTTGTCTGAGTAGGCCTGAAATTCTGAATTTTCTGTGGACCATAAGGTGGTATTTATTTATGATGGTGAGTTGTGAACTCATTTTACATAGCAAGATGAGTACAGTTGGTACTAGACTTTAAGTTACGTTTTGTGACACAAAGGTATTCAATAACAAGTGGGGACGAAGGCTTCCTAATTCTGGCTTTTAAAAGAGCTATATGTTATATCAGACTTGAGGTCATGGCAATAGTGTGACATTAAGAGACCATTTGCCAAGTGGGGAGTTGGGAGTCAGCATCCGAAGGAAAGAAGGGTACAGATATAAAATACATCAGATGTGAGTTAAAAATGAAAGGTGAGATAAGAGTAGGAAACCACAGGTCAGGAAGAGGGTTGAATGTCGTCAAAATGTACAATTAGGCTGAAGTTTATTGATACTGTAGTTAGGATGCCATTCAGCTGAAGCATTTGATTGCATGAAGGAAGGAGATGTAAGCTGGACCAAGCAAGACTAGGTTTAAAAATCTCACACCCTAACCATAGTTGGCTATTTTGAAACCTCAGATACCTTTGTCCAACTATATTTGGAAAATAATAATTAGAAATTTTCAGAAAAAATTCATAAGTTTAGAATATTTTTGTTAAAGTAACTAATTTATTTGATCAATAGGAACTGTAATTAACTTCTTGTGTTCAATGTATCAGTGAAACTCTACCAAAGTTATGTATGTATAGGAGCAAACATCATACAAATAAACTTTATATATAGTGGTTATCTATAGTCTCAAACATCTGTTATTTTTGGAATATGTCACTCTTGGATCACGAAGTCTGCTGTGCTTAGTGGATTCTAGCCATAAACAAAAATCATTGAGCCTATAGTTCATGATTCTAGAGAAGATAAGTAATAAGGTGAACCCAAAGAAAAATATATATAGATCCTCCTGGAAATTGGAAGCAGTCAAGATCACCAGGCAAAAGTTGGGAGCATGAGGGCTGGGGGTTGAGGGAAGGGGAGAAGGGGGAAAAAGAGGGGAGAAGGAGAAGGTTCGGGAGAGCTTGGAGGAATGGGATGGTTGAGATGGAGGAAGGATGGATATGGGAGCAGGGAAGGAGATATCTTAAATGAGGAAGCCATTTTGGAGTTGGCAAGAGGCTTGTCTATGGAGGGCTTCCCAGGAGTCCACAAGGATGGCCCCAGCTAGGACCCTGGGCAGTGGAGGAGAGGGTGCATGAACTGGCCTTGTCCCATAGTCAGACTGATGAGTATCTTGAATATCACCATAGAAACGTCATCCAGTTTTATCCCAGGCTTTTTCAGACCCAGGCCAGCTGGCCTTGGTGAGTTCCTGATAGAACATCCCCATTGTCTCAATGTGTGGGTGCAACCCTTGCGGTCCTGTGTTCCTTGCTCGTGCTCTCTCTCCTTCTGCTCCTGATTTGGACCTTGAGATTTCAGTCCGGTGCTCCAATGTGGGTCTCTGTCTCTGTCTCCTTTCCTCGCCTGATGAAGGTTAATATTCAGGAGGATGCCTATATGTTTGTCTTTGGATTCACCTTCTTATTTAGCTTCTCTAGGATCACGAATTATAGGCTCAAGCATGGGATAAAACTGGACTTGCTGAACATAGCGGACAATGAGAACTACTGAGAACTCAAGAACAATGGCAAAGGGTTTTTGATCCTACTGCACGTACTGGCTTTGGGGGAGCCAAGGCAGTTTGGATGCTCACCTTACTAGACCTGTATGGAGGTGGGAGGTCCTTGGACTTCCCACAGGTCAGGGAACCCTGATTGCTCTTCGAGCTGATGAGGGAGGGGGACTTGATCGGAGGAGGGGAAGGGAAATGGGAGGGGGTGGCGGGGAGGAGGCAGAAATCTTTAATAAATAAATAAATTAATTAAAAAAAAGAAATAAAGATACTGAACTTAAAAAAAAAAAGAAAGAAACTGGTCCAGCGACAGATGGAGACAGAGACAGAAACGCACATGGGAGCACTGGGTCCAGTTGAAGAGCAGAAGGAGGGAAAATATGAGCAAGGAAGTCAGGACCACGAGGGGTTGGTTCACCCACCGAGACAGTGTGCCTGAGCTAATGGGAGTTCACCAACTCCAACTGGACTGGGATCAAACTGGACCCTCTGAATGTGGTTGACAATTGGGGCAGACTGAGGGACCAATGGATAATGGCACTGGGATTTGTCTCTACTGCTTGTGCTGGCTTTTTGGGATCCTATTCTCTTTGGATGCATACCTTCCTAAGCCTAGGTGAAGGGGGGAAGGCCTTGGACTTCCCGCAGGTCAGGGTATTTTACCCTCTCTTAGGACTAAAGGGGGTTGTGGGGGAGTGGGAAGGAAGTGGTAAGAAGGGAGGAAGTGGGAATTTTGATTGGTATTATTTATAAAGTAATAAAAAAAGAGGAATAAAAAAAGAAAAACTGACAACAGTCACACTGGAAAAAAAAGAAGTCTGCTGTGTTTACTTCAGAGGCTTGGGGAACACAAAGCCTACATCTTTGGATAGCACTTCATGTTAAAATTCATGCTCAAATATGAGAAATAGCAAGCAAAGGTTTAAAAATATAGCCCTTCTTAGTTTAAAAGGAACTAAACTTTACACAACAAACAGATAGTCTATTTTATTCTCTGCATTAAGATATAATTAAAGACTTCTACTACTCAAATTGTCTAAACCCGCATGGTACTTCACAACATCTGTTTACAAGGCTACGTGTGCCATGGCCCTGCTGTCTGGCTGTTATCACCACGCTTCTTTGAACATCATGGCCTACTGAACCAGTGGAGCTGACCTAAGTTCAGTGGGTAAGGAGCGAGCAAGGATGTTAGGAAAACCATCATAAAAGTTATTAAAATTAGTCTGTTTTCCAATAGTTTGACAACTAATCTACTTTTCATTCATTTTCACAGTTTAAATTATAAAAGTATAAATTAGTTTTTTAAGAATTTTCCTGAAGTCAAGTAAGAGTATCTCAGAAATAATCATTGAATTTTACATTTAAAACATCCTCTCTCCAAGAATTCTCTCCATGGTAAGTCCCCTCTCAGGAGCTGATTGGCATATTTTTTTAAATGCTGTGTATGATTTTTAATGTGTGTGTGTGTGTGAGAGAGAGAGAGAGAGAGAGAGAGAGAGAGAGAGAGAGAGAATATGTATGTTTATGTAGGTGGTAGTCCAGAGAACAACCTAACATACTTCAGTCACTCTCCATCTTTTTGGTGGATACTCTTTTACAGATTTCGAATATGTCAAGTACAAGAAGCTGTCTCACTAGTGAGACCAAGGGATCCATCTGTACCCATCCTGGGATAATAAGTACATACCACCATCGCCATGGCTAGTTTTTTGAGTTCCGTGGATCGAATTCAAGCCCTCATGCTTACAAAGCAAGCATTTTACTGAAAGATCTATCTCACCAGCCCTATAATGAGTACCTTAAAAGAATCTATCAACAATTTAATATAGAGATCATTTTAAGGCAGGCGGTAGTGCCTTTAATTCCAGTGTTTGGGAGGACGAGGCAGGCAGATCTGCGAGTTTAAGGCTAACTTGGTCTAAAGAGTGATTTCCAGGACAGGCTCCAAAACTACAGAGAAACCCTATCTTGGGAAAAAAAAAAGAAAGAAATCAATTTAAAATTAGAACACTTGCGGAATTGTTGAGGAGGTTTCAGCACTTTGGACAATGATACCTAAGTTTGTATATGGAATATATGTTGTTAAATAACCTTGGCTGGTGCCATGCAATGGTTTTCTGTTTGGAAACTTCTGGAGGAAAAAGTATTAAGATGTAACCCATTTCCAGTCTGTCCCATTTATGAAGAATAGAGTATCTCTATTCCTGATCGTCTTAAGAGTGGAAGAACAGCCAGATGGCCATTTTTGACAACCATGTAGAAAATACAGTCTGAATGACACACAGACTTCCTCTGAATTGTTCAGGATCCAGATGGGAGTATCTGGAGAATGAGGTAGGATGGGACTCAAAGCTCTGCTTGTTTGAAATCTCCCGTGATGGTTCTTTTCTTGTCTCCTATACACTGCAAACTATCAGCTGCATGCAAAAGAACCCACTGTGGGTTGGGGGACATAATCGAAATGGTGATAATTACTGGATAAATTGTGTAACCTCCACATGTAATACACAAAATTAAGTGTGTCTTTTCAACTGCGTCAAAAGTTTCCTGTTATTTCAGTTTGAAAGCTCAGCCTTTCACTGCAGGTGTAGTTAATAATTGGCTGGCAATTTAATGATCCTAATTAAAATGTATATAGCTTGTACTGTCAATCAGGGAATTTCAATTGATTTCTAACATATGTCTAGTTCTACTACTGAGATGGCCTCTCCTTGGGCATATGCTGGGTATGCTGCTACTGAACTATCTTTTACCCAGAGATGCTGATTGGTGTCTCCACAACCAAAATAATTCTTTTTTTATTTCAACAGAATAATTTCACTGGACCCGTACATTCTGTTCTCATTGAGCTCTGACCCTACTATCTTAACTACTTTTATAATATAGTCTGTCTTCACCAACTTTGTACAAATATATAATGTACAACCTCATCCTAAACTAAGCCATCTTTTCAATGGTTTTAGAAAACAGAATAAGGTCTGTAAAATTTAAAGAAAATTCCCTAGGTAATGACAAATAGTGAAATTGCTACCTCTGTCTCCAGAAATCTCCTCAAGGCTCGTTTCTTTTTGATGCTTTTCCTTCTGACGTAAACTGCAAATGTCAGAGCCATGATGACCAGGATGAAGAGCCCGCCAATGACTCCGGCTGCTATCAGTGGAGTTCTGCCAACCAGAATAAAAAAGAAAAATAAAGTGTGAAGAGAGAAAGACAAAGGGGGAAGAGCAACTGCATGAGACATTTTCCACACCTCATGAATCTAGTCATTGTGAAGAAAAGCAAATAAAAAGCCTCCACAGCTGTTATAATGCCCCTAACATTGTAAGCTGTAGGTTTGTTTTGCTTTGATTTTAAATAGTAAACCATGCACAAACAATTAATTCTTGGAGAAGAACAACTGTAGCATGCCATTTGGTGAAAACAAATTGGATTACTGAATAAGGAATGAGGAACACACACTAAGACAATGGAGTGGGAATATTTAAAATTCCTTTTATTAATTTTCATAAGTAAACGAGAAGTTCATTTTAATGAACTGCTGAAGAGTATAATTTTACTTCAAGCAGAGAACCTTGACAGTGGCACTATTGACCTTTGGGCTGCTTACAAATCTGTTGTAGAGGCTACTTCATTTTCAATATTTAGTACCATGCCTGATCTCTCTTCCTAGATGGCAGTAGCATCTCCAGTCTTCAGCCACAGCAACCTGCCCAGATGTTGCCAAAGACCTAGCGACATTACCTCTGTTTGAGAACCTCTTCTCTAAAGTAAAATGTGTATTCTGGAGAGATACAATCCACCACATCATTGGCTCACAAGGGTATCACTAGTGAGTTGTTTATTACCAAAATTGCTTTGAAAATTGACTGTTAGGCAAAAACACTAGGTTGTATGCTGGGATGATGGTGACAAGGATATATTTATTATAATTTGAAGTATGTCTAAATGCCACATGCTCACAAATTTTCTGTAAAATGAATCTTTCATTAAGATAAATGATGTCAAGAAGTGATTAGAAAGGTTTTCAGTCTTCAAGTATCCTTTCAGTGTATTTTAGCAAAGACAGAACTTTAAAGTTGATTGGTTCTTACTGTTTTCTAAAATTATTTTTTCCTTCTTGGAAAAATATATTTCTTATTTAAAGCATTATATATGAACTTTAGGCAGTGCATTCATTTTATATGGTATAGCAAATAACCCAGACTGAAACATGATATTGCCTAGCAAATATTTGACTATGAAGCCCCTATAGATGACAAAGAATGATTTCCTCATGTTCATGCCTTCTACAATAAATCATTTTATATTACATATCTCTACCTATTCTATATCGCTACATTCCCTAAAAGAAATTCTTATACTTTCAAAATAAACTTTTGCTCAAAGATATGCAGGAAATAATGATAGTGGATAATCATAAATTAGTCCTTGAAATTCTAAAGTACTTGTGAGGAAAAGTTGTGTAACTACTTCCACAAATGAAATCATGTTTTGAAGACTATGACTGTTGTACTGTGATATGAAACTGCAGAAAATCTTAAAAAGTCATCCATCCTAAAAGTTTCTTCCTGACATCGAAAACCATAATGAAATGTAGCTATAATTCAACTATATTTTCTTAAATACAATCTCTTAACGATAGAAAAGTCACTACTGAGAAAATTAAATTGTATCAGAGACACAAACCTATCATTGCAATGTGTTTTTGTGTGTTTAGTGACATATTTTTTACATGTCAGTTAAATATATATTGTAGTAAATACTATGGAATTTCAAACCAAAGCATATTTTTTCTACTAACTACTTCACACATTGGTGAATACCCACTCATTATAAGAGACTTCAAATTTGACATTATATATTTTAAAAAATGTAAGAATCATGTTTTGTTTGTTGACTGCATTTTAGGGACATTTATGGTTTTGTATAGAACAAAAACGATTCTCTTTTTTTTCTCATCTTACTTCAGTAGTGAAGAACTGTGGAACCCTGCTAGTCCAAGTGAAACATTGAAACTCAGTAGGATGGATTTGCTATTTTTCTACATAATATTTACATTTGATATTTTCACCCAACAGTTACTTTCCTTGATGTGTGTCTCTTCACTCTTTTCCTCTCTCACCAGCTGGCAAGAATGACAGAAAAACAAAAAACCTGGGAAATGAAGAACTTCTATTTCTACATTAAAATCCACATGGAAATATGTGGTTGGACATTACGCAGGGGCTGTCTCTTGAGAGAAATATCGAACATTAGAGACAATTCTATTTACACAAGTCTCACCACTGTCAATCTTGATGACTCCCAGTGATTTGTACATGAGCAATAGGGGCATTAGTTTAACCAAGAGTTACGATTTAATAATATTGGTTTTGTTTTTAATACAACATCTCACTATGGAGCCTAGGTACTGGTTCGGAACTTATGATTCCCCTGCCTTAGCTTCCTGAGTGCTAAGATTACAGCTGTGCACTGCCATCCATGGCTAATCTTCACTCTTTATGAGGTCCCTTCAAAACAGGATTGAACTAGCTGAATCACATATTTAATTCTTATATATTTCTCCCAGATCTATTGCTTTGTAAACCAAGCGAACTCAGAGATTTCTTCCTGTGTGTTTGATGAATCTCTAAGTAGCTCACGTAAGACTATTAAGATAAAATGGGTCAAATAGGTGGAGAGTGGCAATTATTCTACAATTCCTTATCCATAGCAGTGGTTTTGATTGTTGGCTTGGTTTTCAGTGCCCATTAAAAACTGACTGGCATTCTTAAGTGTGTAAAAGAGTAATGGAGGTGTGAAGTTCAACCTCAGAGTGAAAGGAAACAACCAACTGATAGCTTCACTTATACTCTGACTTGGAAACCACACAATAAAGTCCATGTTCACCCTACTGCTTATGAAACCATGATGAGAATTCTGAACCACAGACAAATTTCATTAATTTACTTAAATGCCCATATTTTTATTTTAATAAATTTATTTAGAAGTACAAAAATAATGAAGAGTATTATTGTTTCAAATGCAATTACCTTATAGAAGAGAGTGTGTCCCCAAAATAACCTACTCATATGAAAATATACATTATTGTCTAGTAATTTGTGAAACACAGCATTACTCTTTTTTCCTTCTTTTTTATTTATTAGATTTTTTTTAAAAAAATTACCAATCCAAGTTCTCACTCCCTTGCCTCCTCCCATTCTCTCCACACACCCTTCCACCACACCCCATCTAATTTTCAGAGAGGGTAAGGCACATTGCCTTGTGGAAGGTCCAAGGCCTTTCCTACTATATCTAGGCAGAGCAAGGCATACATTCCAAGAGAATAGGATCCCAAAAAGCCAGTTTTTGCAGTAGGGATAAATACTGGTGCCACTGTCAGTGACCCCTCAGTATTCTCCAGACATCCAACGGTCAACCACATTCAGAGGGACTAGTTTGGTCCTATGCTTGTTCCTTCCCAGTCTGGCTGGAGTTGGTGAGCTCCCATTAGCTCAGGTAAACTGTTTCAGTGGGTGAACCCATCATGGTCTTGGCCCCCTTGCTCGTATTCTCATTCCTCCCACTTTTCAACTGGACTTTGGGAACTCAGTCCAGTGCCCGATGTGGGTCTCTGCCTCTGCCTCCATCAGTTGCTGGATGAAGGCTTTACGGTGATATTTAAGATATTCATCAATCTGACTACAGGGGAAATCAAGATTGCCCACCCCCCCCTCTCTAGTTCCCAGGGTCCTAGGTGAGGTCATCCTTTTGGATTCCTAGGAATATCTTTAGAGCCAGGTTTCTGCTAACCCTATAATGGCTCCCTCAATCAAGATATCTCTCTTCTTGCTCGTATCTCTGTTCTTCCTCCATCTCGGCCATTCAATTCTCTCTTGTTCTCCTTTACCCTCCCCTTCTCCCCTCTTCTTCTCCTCCTACCCTCTTATTATATAAGATGTAAAAAGATATATTAAACTCTCTCCACTTGATCATCCATATTTTTTCTTTATCTTTTTCTTTAAAGGCATTAAATCATAAAAATATATAGTTAATTCAGTATAACTTACGACCAAAACCCAATTATTTATATTTTGTTAAATCCCTTCTATTTGATATCAATAAATGACTATCCTTCAAAAATGAAAAGTGGTTGTGTTTTGTTTTTTAATTGGCAAAACTACGAGAGCCTACAATGAGATATTTTTAAAAATAAAATAAGCTTACCACAAAACAAAAACATAATAAAATTTATAAAATGGGTATATTTTTCTTCATTTTTGAATAAACCATACTCCGAGTTAGGATAAAACAAATAACCCACAGTCCAAATAATATTCACAGATTCTGTATCTTGCAATTGGTGGCAAGGAGTTCCACGTTTCAAAGCCTAACTAAATAATTTAGAAGTTAAACTAATTAATTGGAAAGCAAGTCTTCAGGAAGTGTTTTATCAGACTGGCACTTCTTTGCTGTTTATTTATAGGCATTAAAGATTAAAAGAGAAGAGATGGGGCATGGAACATGTTTAAGGAGATAAAAACACAGGATAGCCTGATAAACTCCATAAGGTGTAGTTCTTATATAGGAACACTTTGTTTCAGACTTTCAAAGTCTCAAATATAACACCACAGTGTAACTACTGTATAGTGCTGAGATTTTCATTTCTGAGGGAATTTTTCTTATCATAATTGTGGCAGAAAGATGTTTAAATTTGAACTAATCCAAGTTCCAGTTAGATAATCTCCAACTAGATGTTTTTAATCTTCCTACCGAACAACTTATATTAAGTAGACAAGCATAGGCCATAGTGAATAAAATATGCAGTTGGGAACTACCTGGTCTATTAATACAGGCACAAGATCTGATGAGTGTTGTGCATTTAATGTCAGCATATAAAATCAAATATATTTGAGATAAAATGAATATCCTTTCCCATTGTAATGAACAGCTTCAAGTTACACAGATCAAAGTATACATGCACACATCTTCCACGTTCCAAAGCACCTCTCTGCACACAGCCCATCATACCTAAAAATATCCATGTGTGCACATATATGCTGTCATATATATATATATATATATATATATATATATATATATATAAATAATGTGATCATGCAGAAATAAAGCTAAGGCTAGAATATCAGTATTATTTCTACTAGTATTTTTAGATTTTAGTTTT